TTTATTTATATATATATATATATATAATTTTATTTATATATATATATATATATATATTTTTTTTTTTTTACAGAAACTACTCTCGAAATGGGTACACTAAATGTAGGGCTGTGCATCTAAGGTGAAAGTTCTCCATCAGAGCAGAGCATTTAGAGGATGAAAAATAGAACAGTTATATTGATATTAGTAACTGAAAAATGTCAGGGTTCTCACATATTGGCAAAATTGGAATTAGCCGAACTAACCACTGCAAACGGAAATGCCCAGGGTAAAAAAGAACTTCAATGCACTGCAGTATATGGTCATTTCTTTTGAGGCACAGACTTTCGCATGTTTCGAGAAGACTAACGTACAGTCGCTGACAGGTCAAGAAAAGATTTAGTACCCTGTTGAATTTTTATTCGCTTTACAAAGGAAAATGGAAATTGAGAGTCATTATTGGTTAATTTATACTAATGGCACATCCATGTGATTTATAGATCCACAAGGACCAACGTTATCACTCAGGAATTCATTACCGAATGTACTTTTTCGCTTAAAAGATATATTTCAAAGAATTACAATTTATCCATCAGCAGTCTTCTTACTTTAGTGGGCAATCTCCTGTCGATCTTCATAAACTGATTCGGGTGGAAGTCGGCTTTGACGTTTATTCGCGGAAATAAGTATTTTTCCCTCAGGCTTTTTTCCCTGATACGACTGCAATCGAACAAAATTCTTACTTGCTCTTGCAATGCCAGAGTATGATTCGAAAAAGCCTGAAACGAAGAAATATTTTTGCGAAGAGTGTACTTCAACATATGGATGTAGTTCATTATCCTTCTGGGATGAGAATGAGGAATGCATATATCCAAAAAGCTGAGGGTAAGTAAATGATTTACAGTAGCCTGCCAAGCAGTTCCAGAAAGAACTCAGACAATTTATTGCTGAAACTGGCTAGAACAGACAGTTTACAACAGAAGTTGAGGTATGCAAGGGGCAGTCGATAACTTTAATGAGGTTAAGCATAATATTAATTGGAGACAACTATCCATGAGTGCTTCGAAAAAAGTCTGCAATCAAAAAAAGGTACTCAGATATTGTGGAATCTGGACCATTTCTGCATCATGACAATGCTGGACCCCTTGACAACTGAAATGCTGTGTCAACCTGATCAGTCTTAAACCTGGGATTTAAGTCAATAGAACTTTTTATATTTTCTGCAACGAGAGAATCTGAGTAACCATATTTCATGTGGTGAGATTGACTCAGGTGAAGCCAAGTCACTCAAGGTCTAGCAGATCTGCATTTTTAAACTGAGAATGGAAATAGTGCTGTGAACTGCAGAGGAATTACATTGAATGAACATGCATTTGTACCTCAGATATTGAATATAGCATTCCTTTGGTTGCCTTGTATGTTATTTATTGACAGAGCCTCATTTGAGTGATACAATTCAGGATTATCACTGACCACGCTCAATAAATAATTTAATACCCAGGGCTTCTCAATATATTCTACTTGTCTTTCTGCAAACCATTGCAACCATTTCTAATGTCTCATCATACTAACTCTAATCCAAGATCAGAAGGCAACACCCACAGAGAGCCATGCTACATCATTCATAGCAGCAGGAAAATTAATTACTGGTTCAGTCACAGCAACAGCCAGGGAACAAGGACAAAAAATAAATATTTAATGGATCAGAAATTTTAGACTATAACTGTTTGAAAACAAACATGCACAGCCCATAGATTTCAGGGTTGTTAAGGGTTGCACATCTTCCATAATGACTAGTGTAGTTTTATCATTACCCCATCTTCCTATTCTCATTGAAATCACCTTTAAAGATTTTGTTTCCCAAATAATAGCATTTATTTGATTAGAATAGATGGATGTACCTTGACTAACACTCTGAAAAGGCAGTACTTTGCTTGACAGATATAGCAGGTCTCATACAGGTTCAGAAATTTTGGCATAAGGAGCAAACAATTTTATTATTATGTGAGGGTGGATGAAATGATCCTTTTAGAGTTTCTGGCATTGGCAGTTGCTAAGAGACTCAGTGTGTTTTTCACTTGAATGAAACATTTTTGCAATTGACTAGGAAACCCACATGTGGGAAGTGCCTCATTACATTAGTGTCTGAGTTAAATGAATCACACTAATTGCTAATCGGCCCTCTAAGTTTAAGAAATACAGTATCAGGAGATGCTACTCAGGCAAGTAGAACATCCTCCTCTTTCTCCATAATGAGGAACGTCACACACCCCTTCTCCTAACCCCCCCTCTCTACATTTCTCTAGTATAATGAGGTAGGTGAGCTTAGCTAAGACAAGAGATCACTCAATATCGAAGGGTAGATATCTCTTCCCAGGATATGTATACTGTATATTGTATATGTAGAACCCAATATAGGGGTTAATCCAACTAATACAAAGCCTATATTCTCAGGGCAGCAGTTAGCATGGATGGGGATAACCATGTAGGGCATAATATATCAGGAGATATTTCACTGAATATGGAACTGTCATCTACCAGTCCATATCATGGTAACACATTCTACCCCTTACCAGATGTATTCCATATTTGGGTACCACACATTAAGAACTGAAAAGGCACATCAAGAATGACACATTAGTGGCATTATCAAGCAAGCAAAGAAATTCTTTTGATTTAATATTTAAATTGCCAGAAAAAGTATTTATATTGCAAAACCACAAAGACTCCCTTTTCTAGTAGCTGGGACAAAACTGTATGAATAAAAAAGTTATAACTCTATTTGGGCAGCACTTCCTATCAGAACTTGGCTGCCTCAACAGCTCTATGATGCACCTCAATGCACCATAGGTTATACCTGTTATCTGATGGGTACAGGGATCAGTGTCAGGTATCTTCCATCCTTATGATGACTTTTTGGATGGCAAATAATCATGAAACAGGCTGAATGGTGCTGAATGCTGGGAATTGAAAAAGGCCCATAATGGTGAAAACTTTTATCAGAAAACTTCATAAGCCAATAAATTAGCCTTGACTTCTTCAGAAAAGGTGACAACCATACCTATATCCATTCCATACTCATAAATTGGTAACAATAACATCATCATAGACAATTCTCTTTACTTTCTAAATGTCAAGCACACTCAATGAGAAGAAAATTCAAGTCATAGAAGCCAAATGAATAGCTGCTATAAACGAAACCACTGATGGAAGAACAGTCATGGTCACACCCATATCTTCCAGAGGAAATGTGGGAAATAAAAAAAAAGAAATAACGCAGGTTTTTACTCATTCTTTATCATTTATTTTATGAGAAAGCACAGTAAAAGCAATCATAATCATGCAGGGTCAATCTCTAGGGCCCATTATGGGCATAGGCTTTACGAGAAATGAGTTTATCTGCCATGGCATGGGATCAGAGTTAGAAACCAAGCAAGTAATTTGTAGAAGCATGTTTGTTGCTTCTGGTCTGCTAGTATCAGCTCAACTGGAATTATTTTTGCTGCCCTATTGTAAATGTGATGTCTCATCAAAAGCAACCACAAAAGGTAGATGACTGTGGAGGAATACAACAAGATGGCTGCCTTCAAATGTTGAGATGGTACTGTGAAGGCCATGTGCAGAAGACAATGAAATTCTGCATGACACATTCAGCATAAAGGCCTTGAAGGCATCCATATTTACCCGATTACAAAACATAAGGGATGGTTTTTGTGATAACAAAACTACAGCCAGTAAACAGTTACAACTAGTAGAAGAGTCAAACCACACCTTACACGTGAGATGCAAAAAAATCTCTGTAGAGAAAGAGCTAGGGATGTATATCCTCAGAGTAACTACAGGCCTTGAAGCAAAACTGATCCTCCTTCAATAATCTGAGCATATAGAGGCTTTTGAAAGCTATGTGGGAGGATTCCAAGGAGTGAAGGGTTCAAGTCTGGTTAAGGGGAGAGGATAATTTGAGGATTTCAGTATCAGGATGTGCATCCATTAGCTAATATTCTCCTGCACCTGTGGACTGCATTGTGTAACTCACACTTAACAGGGATTGTAGCATCTGTAAGTTCTATTGCAGCAGGGCAGCAAGCAACCAGAAACTTAAATGTCTAACTACACTGTAGATTTCTATGCTTTGAGTGATTGAATTCATGTGCAAAGAGATTGTAGATGGATAATGTCCTTTTGTACTCAACATTGAATTACAGCCAAGCAAGTATCAATGAACATCAATGGTACACAAAGCCTTCATCACTGGCCTTGGAGTGCATATTTTACAAGCAACTTATTGGGAGAAATGACCATCTCACTTTTCCATTATTTCAATGATTTTCAGATCACTTCACACAGATGAGAGGTAAATTTTGTTTCATGAAAAAATAAAGATTCTTTCACATTCAAGCACAAGAAATGCACTTATCACATGAATGAAGATTGGAAACCCATCAAGCAATGCAAGCATGCATGATTCACAAGGAAGGCAGTGGAGAGGATCCCACTGTTCTTCTGGCATGATCACCTGGGGAAGTGGGCCCAATAATAATTACTATTCAAACAAATTTCCTTCTTTTGCCTTGAAAGAAGGTTCTTAACATACCTCATCACTTGGATAAATATCACAGATAGATGATTAGACAGTTGTATCAAGTCAGGCAATGCCATACAGGGAAAGCTTCTGTGCAGAAAAAATTTCAGAGCGACACATGGGGCACGTCTCCAATTGAGCCAGGCACGCTTCACAAAACCCCCTGCATTATTCCAAACCAAGCATCATTATACCATTATCAGAGCATTATGTGCAAATCATGGAATGGGACTTGAAGCATACCTGTGGCCACAGGGAACAAGAAGCATCAGTCCTGGCTTATCCCAACAAAGTGTACAGGCATTCTCTTTCACACTGAGCTCCTTGAGCTGGGCCAGCCGGACATGTCTGCAATCAAACAGCAATTGGAAGTTCAATCAGGTGAATTAAAAATTCAATGGTGGCTGAGATGAGTTAAGGAATAGGATTCTCCATCATGTTACCTGGGCAAAATCACTCTCATGTCATCAGCGAGATGTCCCTTGTCATTGAACGTGCTGAAGTTTCTTTCCCTGGGGGGATATTGAAATGGAGTATGTCCAAAATTGAAAATGGCATGTGTGAAGGGCATAAAACTTGCAGCTGCATAGAATCCTGATCTGGAAAGAGTAAGTGAAGATGATGAGCATTTTCCAAGTCCTGTTGCTTACTTATGTCAACTGCATGATATAACACAATCAAGGCAGGCAACAAAAGGGAGGACAAAGTGGAGTCTTTACCTGCTGTACTGGAAGACCTCAGTACAAGGATCCAGCAGATAACCATTCAATGAGAAAACCATTTCCAAATTTTCCAGGTCAAGCAGGCAACCTAAGATGTCACCTGGCTTCCAGCATGGATGGGTATGAGACCAGTGCATTGCATTATGCCAAATGAATTGTCGACATCCATCATAAGCCAGAGAATATTTGTCATCTCCAATCCCACAGCCTTCCTGAAAGCAAAAAAATTAAGTTTATCTATAATATTGACATAGCTGGAGTTCAGTTTAAAAATGGTTTAGAAAGGTCCCAGGCCAATAAAAATAGCAACTAAAGGCTCACATAGTTAGAAAACTTGCTCTCCTTGGTTGCCCAGCCAATTTGCATGATGCCAGCTGTGACAATGGTGACTTCAAAATACCATATCCCCTCCATTGCACAGAAAGTGCACATGACACTTTCAAAGGATGAAGCATTGCACCTAGCCTGAAGATGGATGAATCGCATCAGGCAAGGCATTCATTACAATCTGATGGCTTCTGCAATAACTTGAATTCCTTACCTCTAGTCCATTAGCAGACAGCTTGAGAGACTCACTGATGCCAGTTTGATCAAGTACTGCATTCAATTCAGATGTGTCAATGGTTTCATAGGAATATGGTCTCCCTTCTTGAATGACTGAAAATAAGGGAATACATGTTTATATATGACAAAAATAGATCCGAGGAAGTTTAGCTCTCCTGATATCCACTGTATTAACTCAATGTGGGAATGATTTCCATTGGGACAACTAATAACATAAATTCAAAATTCAAGAGTGAAAATACATTTGGATGCCAAAAAAATGTCCATATGCATACCAAATTGATATCAAGTCATTATGCACTGATTGAAGGCTAATAACATTCATCAAGATGAATCCAGAAAATGTAAAGAAAACCTCTCAGTCTGCAAAAACCAGGTCTTTTTGCTAGCATTGTGGTCCAAAAAGGTTTAAAAAAAGAGACAATTGCAGAATCCTGTTCATCAACAGAGAAATTGAAGAAGAGATGATTAGAGAAGTTCATTCAAAGTTTTCATAAAAAACATAATGGATAGTGATGATAAGGGGGGAAGAATCAAGTAATAATGTCATCGAGTGGGAGCATCTATTGCTTTATCAAGTTACTACCTTCTTTGTAGTAACAATTTTCCAAGAGGTCCACAATCACCTGGTGTTCACCAAATAATATACTCTGCCACACCTTCCATAATATGATACTGTGTTTTATAGTTGCATATCCTGACTCAAGCAGGAAATATCAGCATTAGTTTAAAAAAAAGAACTGCATAACTAGGTTTGACTATTTTCATAAAGAACTAAACCTACTCCAACATGCACTTTAGAATATATGAGAAACATATGTTTGGGGGAAAAAAGTTTATCCCTGCTTTGAATTTCACAAAACAGGTTGCTCGTTTCATGTTGCAGATAACACAGAGGCACAATACAGAGTGTTTCAAAATATCATGTTAGGCTGTTTTGGCAACTTCCAGTCATCACCCAGATGTGTATTTTCAATCAAAAGAGCACATAAAAAAAGGAGTGGAAACTCCCACTTTTGTGAAGATATGTTAACCCCACCCCCCCAAGATCACACATTTTAATCCACAACAATCAGTTTCAGAAAGGTATTAGCAGCTACAGCTGCATGATGCTATTTGTCATGTGAAGCAATTGTGATTAAGATGTTCTGTTGTTGATATCTTCCTTGTTATTTTTTTTTTACTTTTGGAGTTTTCAGGATGGCTAGGCTCAGAGATAGTGATGAGTAATGTCTCATTGATCAATGGTCAGTGTTTTCAAAATAGCATGTGACATGGGGGTGTAGATGTCAAAGCAGTCAGTTGATCAATTGTAAATTCACAACAGGTCAATATATCTTCATAAAAATGGAGTATCCTGGTTCATTTTTCATGCTCTTTCAAGTGAGCATGCTCACATTCTTGTGCAATGATCGGAAGTTGTCATATAGCCTTGTATGACATTTTGTGACACATACCATCATATTATGTATTCTGGGCATCCATTTCCCAAAAAAGCACCAGAGGATAGTCATTGGTCCTTCACTTCATAAGCATTGAGGAGAGATGTATACAGGTCAAATCTTGTTGCAACAAAAATTCTATTCTAATGAGGTATACAAAGTGCATTACTATGGGCCATCAGCTGGGTCTTTAAAAATATTTTCGTTGTACTGAAATTTTTCATTGTAACAAGAATTGATCTTTGGGTGAATATAGGATCCATATGTTGCATATTGTCATTTCCATTTCCAATGATTCTCCATCAGCTAAACTGTTATGTCTGTCATACTATGGGCAAAGTCACACTGCTAATTATTTAATGAAGATGGGTCAGAGAGCTTTTGCTACTTAATTCAGCTTGATATTGAGAACTTCAGTGCCATGCTAAATCATCTCATTGGCTGGAACAAACACAAGTGCACTTTCTTGGCTTTAGTTTGACTACAAAATCAAAACCAAAACATGAAGAAATAGATACCCAGCATTAGAACACATAGCTAATAAGTGGGTGAGCTCTTGAATAGTGTGGATTGGGCATGTCAATTGAGAAAAATGGATCAGGGCCTGATCAACAACCATCCCCTCTTCACCAATAGTAATCATGCAGGCCAAATTGTGACAAAATCCACATTTCCTTGGCTTTGACTAGGATGACTAAGATAAGTATTTTAAACACAAATGCAGCGAACTGTACAAACTATAGACTCATGCAACATCTAAAATGGTTTGAAATGCTATGCAATGAGTGAATGATGAAGTCAATTGAATGATAATCTACAAAAGAAGTCATCCAAACTCTTTGAAATTAAAAGTAACTTACAGAGGTTGTCAAGACACCACTGGGCACAGAACCCCACTTCTCTCAGGGGATAGTCTTCAGATTCATGGTGCTTCTCCAATACCATCAGAGGATTAACTGGGCATTGCTGAAGTTTTTGGGCAATTCTTACCTTATTCTCACCTAAAAAGAAATCAAAAGAGGAACACAGTTTAGACATGATTTTGCATTTTATTTTTTCCCACAACTGGTACCATAGCACTAAACAAGCTTCTGGGTTACAATGACCTATGCAACAACTCAGGTTAAACATTCCTGGAACAATTCCACATTAGACTATAGGCAACCACCATGGGTATTACTATAAGGCTCACTTCCAAAGTCAAGTTCAAGTTCAAGATTTTTAGGTAGTAACACCCAATGTGCAGTGCAGGATGCCATGAGAGTGTAAATGAGATCCAGCCAAATTGAGGTGGGTGAGTGACTCACTGACACATGGTGTCAGTGACATATTCCTGTGACTTTCTTGCTGGCTGGAACGAAAGCAATGTCTCACTCTCCTGTTCCTCATTTCCAGCAATATAACAACCTGTAGTCATCAGTTCCACTCGTAATAATATTGTACATACACCTCTCAATCGTTTATTTCATTCATAGCCTCAAGTTTCTGGCTCTCATTCAATTTCTTAGAACCATTTTTTCATTATGAAGGGCAGGAGCAAAGTTTGCATTGTTGTGTTCAGCAAAAATACTTTTAGAGGTTGGCAGACAAAACAGTTTCTTTTCTTGATGTCCAAGATACTGTCCTGAATTCTGACTGCAACCAAATCCCTGCTTTTCAGCTGGAATTGCAACACAGAGATAATGCAATGTTGTCACCTTGCCTCCATGATGATACAGACCAAGAATCATCATATCACTCATTGTCTCAGTTGAAACTGGTAATTCCTCAAAAGGGTGAAAAGGAAATGTTTCAGGATTTAATATAGGATGGTAAACTTATTTCTGATGCACCAAATGATGAGGCAGCCATGATGAACACAGGAGAAGTGTTCTACCATGTAGCTGGCTTTGTTGCTTTTAAGGGAGCAATACCCCATTAAAAATAGATTTTTTCAAAAAAGGAAAATAGTTTTTGCAAAAATTGGCTCAAACTATACTTCAGACACTGAAGACTGCTTTCCTGTTGGGAAAAAATAATGGAACTTAATTAATTAGGTGTCATTTTTACTAATTAGTGTAGTATTGTCTTAAATACATCTCCTTAGCACCAACTTTGGCCCTTGGATACCATATGTTGGAAAATATGAAAAATGAAAATTCCAATGCCATAACTTTTGTAGAAGCCTATAGTTCACTCTGGATTCCACCCCTAGGTGCCTCATTCCACAAAGTCAGTAGGTTCCATAGTTTTCTATGACCTTTGCAGCAAATATGACAACCTTCAAAACTTTCAACATTCAATTTCCCAAAAACCCATTTTCACCATAAATACAAGGCTCTTGAGCATGATATCTCAGGACCTAGCAGAGATACATGTATGATTCTTTGCACTAAATTTCCTTGAATTGGTGGTTGTGGAATGACAAGAGCATTTCCTGATATTGTGGATGAAATTTGGATGTTTAGCATGTTAATATATAACTAACAGGTCAAAATGGAGAAAAAAAATTATTTTGGTTGAATATTTTTCCTCTAAGGGAATTCTGCCAAATCGCCCTGTCATTCTAAACCTTATGATTTCATTTATTATGAGTGTGAATTTAATCAATTTATATAAAAGAATTTATAATATATCACATTTGAAATGTTGCTACTTTTTTTCACTCACGGTGGCCATATTGACACCAAATTAGTATAATTTATGCAAATTATGCATGAAATTGAAATAGTTTCTCAAGGCTTCCAAACTGATATACAGAGTTGATTTACACCACTGGAACTCGCCAAATTGGTTTTAATGGGGTATTGCTACCTTAAGCCTCATGGAAAGGTCCTGGATTTAAGTACATCTTTGTTCATGATTCTGATAGCTCTTCATGGATGCTAAGAATCAGGTGAGGTGGTTAGCTGAAACCCACTGAATGTCATATAAGGATATTAAAGGAAACTGCTGAATGTTTATGCCATTTGTATGCTTATGCCAAAACTACCATCGAATGCTGAGGGAATATGGTAAAATCTAAATCTCTGCAGATAAAATACTGTCACATCCATGTATCAGCTATTATGACCTTCATCCATATCAAAAGCCTCGTAAGACAGATTCTGAACATGGAAAGTGGAGAGAGTGAACTGGGGATTAAAAAGGGATAATCAGAGCTAAGATACCATGAGAGATATTTCATCATAAACTCAAACTTGTATACATCAAGACAGGTATGGAAATAAATGAGTTGAGGACAACTCACAGGTCTGTGCAAATTTCTCCAATGCGATGATAGCAAAAAGAGACACTGCTGGATGGCAGGACTCATCCTGAAAGGAAAAATGTATGAATACAAAGATGTACTGAAAGGAATTATTGCATCAATAAAAATGCTTGGGGGAATCAAGATTATGGAAGACCAGCCTAGAGAACACTCAGCCTACCAAGTTGGCAATGATATAATCCAGAGTGCTCTCAGAGGATATGGCAATGCTGCTTGGACCGGCCATTTTTTCTGCTAAGCATCCCAACACAACACAGAGGTTTCGATGTTGAATAACATCCTTACTGTTCTGTGCACTATTCTCAGCACAAACACCAAAATCTTCTGGCAACGCCATCAGAGTATCCTGTAAGAAAGGAAATGTACTGAGGAGCCTTTCATGCCAAGCTGTCCTAAATTCATTCATAGCCACATTCCACTGAATATCTGAGTCTAAGAAGGCTGATTAACATGGATATCCATGAGAAGACCTTTGATGGTAAGGGGCAATCATTGAGCAGAAGTGAGATCACAGCAGGCCCAAGAGGATCATTCAAGGGCATGACTTTGACAAGGGAGTTGATCACAGCTCTCCATCCACCTTCTTTGTCTGCAATATTATGAATCTTCACCATGGAGCTTGGTGGTTCTTGATCACTGGCAGAAAATAAAGAAACCATTTGGAATCACTATGTCTCTCAGATATAAAGCATAGCACAGGCTTAATATATCTTTCCAAAAAAAAAAAAAGCTCTCTTCCAAGCTTCTTGAGCAAATACTGCCCTCTCTTCTCTCCTTAATTGCTCAATATTAAGCCCATTGACCATAATGAATTTTATATCATTGGAAAGGCCAGTTCCCTTTGATTCTATAAACAATACATAACTATTCTTGAAGGAGTTTCGATGGAGCAATTGAGGATTGAAGGAAGGGATAGTCCAGTCTGCTGCTTCTCCATTTCTAAAATTTTTTTTGGAATGGTGCATTAATTTCTGAATGAAACAAACCTAAGCCTATAGCTTACTTGTCAACAAAGCTGCGAATTGCTGCCAAGGAGTCTAGCACAAGCTTGTCAATACTTGCCGCTAATTTCGCATTCATTAAATTCTGGAGAGAAGAAACGTGTCGATAGGTGTGTCCTTGTTGCTCGACATTATTGGGCAGGCTCACAGCAGTTTCATCTTGCTCTTCCTTGCAGTCTTTGCAAGCACACTGCCCCATGTGCTTCCTTTAAGTCGTAAAACTTTCTTGCGGGATTTAACCTACTTTGGCTCCAAAGCAGTAGGCTCCACTTGACTAGATCTATAGAATTTAATAACAACGCTAGAAGATGCCACCAATTGACAAAATCAATGTAACGTGGAGCCGCAAACTACTGAAAACTAAGATTTGCTGTGCTCGTGATAGGCCTAACTGATCCCATTGATTCATGAGATCGCCTCTACATAAACTACCCACAGTCCTACTAGGTAACTTGGTTTAGTTATTGAGCAAAGCATACGTCCGTAACCGCAACATTCCTCTGTGCCGCAGCGCGCCGCCATCTTTACTCCAATAGAAGGGAGTTCGCAATATTTTTCGATCTAACGTTCTACCAAAAATTAATACAGTGAGAATGTATAAGCGGCTGAGGATGAAATATTTTTCATTGTATTCACCTCACACCCTTCTGAATGGCACCACATGTCATACTACTTGAGCGACAACTGCCTTCCCTAAATAATTTATCATTGTTATATGGGTGACTGGAGGCAATCAAACACTTACCGCTTTCACCACTGTAGGTGAATTCATTCAATAGTCATTGTATGGGGCTGTTGTACATATACCAGCGCCATCTCTCTATCAAAATTTTAGACGAATTATACATGATTTATTAATTTAAATGTTACCGGTATATACCCAAGTAGCACATAGGTGGTGGGCCACCAACTACGTTTAGGTAAGAGAGTTGGTGGCCCATCACCTTGACTAGGTTGTGGGCTACCAATCGCATGTCCCACTTGCCAGTAGTGGCTCGCCACCTTCCGGGCCGCTTAAGGGCCAGCACATTACCAGTTAGCTCGTTTGTGGTGTACCACCAGCTGGGAATGGTCCTAATGTCTCCATATATATCCAAATTATCTCTAAATTTTGGCTCCGGAGCCTACTCAGAATAATACTCAAGAGTATCAAGATGACCCACAGCTCTCCTCTTCCGCATCCACTATGAATCTTTTGGGGGGGGGGAAGAGCAGAAGTCTTCGAGTATTAAGACATATCGTACCTCGTACATACAATATGACATTGGAAAAACCTAGTTTCTCTACCCTCCCCTAGTCCTATACACTTCTGAATTCCCATACATAACTTCGACATTTAATAATTCCCCGAATCTTATATTGCAATCAAAACATCATAATTCCACGATTTCCTAGTACCTGTTTATAAATTGCACATTTAAAATCCGCCAGTGTAGTGCCTGTACCGTTTATGGCCCACTACTTTTGCGCTACTTGGGTAGGAGAAGTTATTTTATTTTATTTAAACACGGATGTTCAACTTGCTCTCCATGGTTAGCTATATAGACTTCAAAACGCTCAAAGACATGTTTCACTGCACTTCACTTATCTCCCTGGGGATACTTGAAATTATGCTTGTTATTCTTTCACGCAGTTCTTCGACATCCCTCACCTTAGCGTACGCGCACTCTCTCACCATCCCCCCCCCCTCCCCCCACAACCAAAAATCGCATGGTGTGAGGTCTGGCGAACGCATGGACCACTTTAATGGTCCTGCCCTTTCAATCTACCTTTATGGGAACGCAACGTCTAGATATTGACGTACTCCATGTACATAGTGTAGGGAATCCCTGAAATGAGAAAAACACATCAAATTTTCTACATTTAAATATTTCCTATATCCTGGTAACATTTTTTTGAATAACCCTGTGTAGTCTCAAGCATAACCCAACCAGACCTTCTAGTACTGAAGACGTTTTTCCGATGCGAAAAGCGTATACATCATTCAGGGTGATCCAAAGAGATGTAATTAAATTCATCATTAGCACCAATATTGTGCGCAGGGAGAGGGGGGAGGACGCAGGTGGATCGAGACCCCCCCTCCCAGGACTGGTGTTAAGGGGTGGGCGAAGAGGTGACCGCCATTGCTCCTTGATGATCTCCATGCCGACATTTTCTTGGAGTTCCCCCTTGCATCAGAACACACTAGAACTTTACAGCCCTAGAAAATTGAGATCTATTGAGACAGGGATCTCTTCTACTATATACAAATTTGGCAATAAAATGCAATGCTGACCAGACTCTTTTACCCAAGAACAAGCAAAACTTGGTTGAAACATTATTCTTCTATTCTCTTCCAGCATTTGGCTTANCCCCCCCCCCCCCCCCCCCCCCCCTTTTTTTTTTATCAGCGCAACATTCTCACATTGCAAGCAACATGTTAAGAAAGAACATATCAGTAATCACTATGCACTGTAAAAGTATTTCTCAGGATTTTCATGTTTCATGTTTCACTTCAGATTAGTTTCTTGCTTCGTCAAGAATTCTCTTCATTTCTTCCTACAAATCTGAAGTTTTCAATGCATTAACATAGACTGATCTATCAATTTAAAATTGAATACTTTTTGAAGGCCTCGAAATTGGTTTAATTGAGAGAGGAAATTGAGCCAATTTTTGTCTTCTGGCTCCATGCATAGCTCAATTTTAATCAAGATGAAATTTACGATTCAGGAATGCTTTTTTGTCGATGTCAAAAAGCACACTTTCCTTTTCCAAAGGAAGTGCATTATTCAACTTCCCCTTGAGGAACGTCAACAGTTTTCTGATGTTTATTTGCCTGCGCTCAGATACGTAACAGATGGAGTGTTTGTTTTTCTCTTCTGCAAAACGGGCATTCTTCTCTTTCAATCACGGCTATATTTCAATATTTCTGAATTGGAGTCATCTGAAATCAGAGGGCGACTTTTTTCATAAATTTATTTTGAATTTGGTCATCCACCTATGAGACGATTCTCTTTCGAGTCTGCCATTTCCGATTCACTCTCATTTCCACAATTGTCATATTTTCAGACATCAGCATCAAGTCATGCATATGTTTCACTCAATTTTTTTGTATATTAAATGATTATGACGGGGAATGGAAGTGTAGGTTCATTCCAATTTATCGTCAACTCATTTGTACTAAAAGAAAAACTTATTCTCTTAATTGTTCCAACATGCAGTAAAAGGTTGCGACTGCTCAATTGATACTTTGTTTTGATTTCTTCAAAAGCACAGAAACTTCCATCATCTGAGAAAAATTCAGCCATGCCGGAACCCTTGCTGATCGTTTAGTTTTCTAGTCGAAGGGTGCAAAAAGCATTGCTATATATTTTTTTTCTTCTTGAAGATATTTATTTATTTATTCATTACTTCACATTCTGTGGCAGTGACGTGCTTCAACCAGGTGGAACCAGGTGGACGTCCCCCCCGGTGGAAATCCACCAATCAATTCGTGCCCATGTATTTCGAGCGAAGTGGATCTTCCCTCCCGGTGGATCTTCCCCCGGGTGGACATCACTCCAACAGGTGGAAATAATGCCTATGGGGGATATCCACCTGGTTCCAAATCCACAGGGGGGGTGGACGTTTTGTAAGGGTCACCTAATCTCATCTTCACCTGGCATCTACTCTGTCCATTCCAACTTCACTTCCAATTCTAAGCAGTCTCCAATTCATCTGGCTCTGATTCTACCACATCCCCTTCGTTTTTCCTTTTTTTCAATAATATCCCTGCAATCGAAGCGCAGGGGTGTCAGACTCGACTGCTGGGGGTCGGATGTAACATTTCAGGAATGGTTGGGGCCCAAATCTTACAAAAAATTTTAATGCGAACATATTTAGATTTGCATCACTTTTTAAACCAACTTTCGAAGAGGACTACGCAAACCGGACAAAATGATCTGGGGGATTGTCAACCTGGTGGCCCGCGAGTCACCAGTTCAACAATTCTGTCGCAGAGTCTCACTTCACCATTCTCCGTTCTAGCGAGGATCCTTCTCCGTGTTCTGTTCCTCCCTTGCCTCTCGCCTCGAGAGGAACCTCCTCGACGTCCCCTCTCATCCCCAGAGCTCTCTCGATGCCTCATCATGTCGTTGCTTCACCAGTCCCTTCTCCGATTCTTTGATCGTCGCAAAGGGACCCAAGGGAACCTCACCATCAGCAAGCACTGTGTATTGGCCTTGTGACGTCAATCGTATTGTGTGGTCGCCAGGTGGCATATCGTTTCCTTGACCGTATGAGCAGCAATTCTAAGAAGCTGTGCCCGCTCGTGTCAGCCTTCTTAATCATTTTTCTAGTTATGTCTGTGAACGGGATTGCCTTCATTCGTTTGGCTCTCGTCCTCTCAATAATCGTCTGAAATTCAAAATTAGATTTCACCCCTGATATGAACTCTGATTCACTTTCTTCTGCGTTAACAAATTATCCTTACATTTTTCATTTTTATTTTATTTTCACATGTCTCATAATGTATTATCTATTGACTTATTTATTATTTATCTATTTACCTTTCACTTATTATACAGTTACAGTCCGTTGCATATATCCTCTTAATTGTTTCGTTATTGCTTACTTTTATCATATATAGGGTAACTTGGGGGGATATCGCCCTTCACAATGAATCCCTTTACAGACTGAAGAATTAGTTTGGTATTATTTAAAAAATAGTTCTATCGAAGAGTACATGCAATTGTCGAAATGTTTAGACTTGCTCATTAATCCAATTCTCGCGTGAATTCGGGATACAGCGATGTTTTGAAAGTCATATGCATGCGATTCTTCAATCCACGACCCTGAAACTAATGTGAGCCTTGAGCAATTTAAGCGTATATTTCCTAATAGCAGCATGGATACAGAAACCATTTGTTCAAGGTTGGTCCCTCCAGAATGCTTGTGGAAAGTGCTATCCCCTTCACTTGAGGTTTGCAGGCAGTTTTTTCAATTTTGTAATGCAAGTCAATATAGGGGAATATGGCTACCTCGATTCGGGGTATGGACACATCCTTGATTTCATGGTTGCACCGCACTGAGCTATTGGAAGTGTCAGCTTCCTTTCATGTGGGAGATCAGGCAGCAAAAGATCATCCTATGTACATCCTCTGTATATATGGGTACTGGAAATCTGGACGAAATATACAGTACATGAGGAGGCGGTGTATGAGGATATCCTCGTGCCTCCTGGACGTCTGCTTGACGTACTCCAGATATTTTCGTGGCACGAAATTTGAATGCAGGTAAATATCCCTCGAACAGAAAGTTAAAATGTAATTCTGTGTTTTCTTTTGGCACCATTTATGCATACATGCAAAAACTACGCAACGTTTTCCCAGCAATTTAAGACCTCTTATATTACACTCGTAGTGCGTGTTCACTTTGATCTATGGTTGATCACTCCTCTTACACCCACAGTCTCTAGATAGTCTCCGAATCACGTTCAATGCTATTCAAAGCCAAAAGCGTTGCAATCCTGTTTTCCACAACAG